GCGCGGGGTTGGCGGCGGGGCCGGGGCCCGCGCGGTGGAGGGCTCCGTCGGATGGGGCGCCCGCTTTGTCTTGGGAGGCCGCGCCACCCAACGCACATGCCATTGATTGCTGGTCCCCCCCGCCTGTCCCTTATTTACAAGTTGGCGTCGCCGGGACCCGGAGGCCCCGCTGGGACCCGCAGGCCCCGCTTGGAGGGGCGTGGGCCTGGCGCGTTTGGGTCGGTCTCCGTCAGCTGTGTCCGGCGAGCGCAGGGCGGAGGCCGGGGTCAGCCTGCCCGCCGTGTGGAGTGCACGGGCGTGAGCCGCAGGCCTGTGGGAGCGGGTGGGTGGCGTATCCATCCAGCCGATCGTCAGCTTTCATTAAGCATTTTTCAGTCTGTAGCCAAGTATTGGGTGTTCTGTTAAGTAAAATCAACGCAGCGCTGTTGAATTTTGTGTGCGTGCGTGTTTAGCCTTGCTTGGCGGATTTGGCGGATTTCAGTCAGTTTTCAATCAATGTTTGTGCAAGCTTAAGCACCAGGAAGGCTGGTTTTGGGGCTGTCAGCACGGATTAAATGTGTGATGAGTCCCGCCCAGCTCAGCCCTGTGTTTAATTCTGCGCCTTCACCTGTTCCAATCTTGCCCGGCTCGTCACCCCCAGACGTTCTTTAAACTCAGCAGTACTGAGCCTTCATTAAAAACAACAAAACCACTCGTGACTGTTTTGTGGCCTCTTCTGACCCATTCTTTTGTTGTCCCTCCACCTTTTGCTGTAAGCTCTTTGAAGGCAGGAAGATATACTGTATGCTTTTGGTACTCTCCTACGCACTCGACCCCCAGCACCACGGTGGCTTCTATGATGAACCATACTTGTAGGTTACTGTAGATTGAGAAAATAAAATTAAAGAAAAAAAAATATTGAGGCAAAGCCGTGTTTAAAGCAGTGTTGATTCAATCTGGTATATTTAGAAAGTAACTTCTAAGTTTACTTTTTTAATAAATTGAGGGGAAATTGACATAAAATGAGCCATTTTAAAGTCAACACTTTAGTAGTAGATTTACATTTTAAAATTTCGGACCAAGACATTTTTCCCACTTGTGACAGACACCTCTTCATTTATTCTTTGAGATCCACTCTTGGCTTTGCTCTATTTGTTTTGCAAGACTGCTGTTTTTCTAAATAGGCCATTTTTTAGGTTTTTAACGTTTTGTACCATGCTCCACCACATGTTAATGTGTGCATCGTATGTTGTACATGTGAATGTAATTGAGTACGTATTACAGATAAGGTGAAGTCCACAGCTTCAAGGGCCCTGAATGCTTTTTACTTAGAGATTACGGTAGTGTAAAGGATAGCCTTTTAATCCGATATAATCCTAAAGTGATTGGTACCGCCTCCATTTCCACTTGTCTGAATTTATTTTTTCTTCTAGTTTTAACAATAATAAGTGATCATTGTAGAAACATAGAAAATATAGGAACAGTATAAAAAGTAAAAATTACCTAAAGTACAAATACCAGAGATAACCCCTGCTGATGTTGTGGTGTGCTTCAAATCTTTCTTGTGTGTGTATAAAACATTTTTACAAACTTGGCATCCTGATTTGTAGTTTTCGTTTGCGTATCTAGTTTTTTTTTTTTTTTTTGTGAGGAAGATCAGCCCTGTGCTAACACCTGCCAATCCTCCTCTTTTTTTTTTTTTTTTTGCTGAGGAAGACTGGCCCTGGGCTAACTCTGTGCCCATCTTTCTCCACTTTATATGGGACACCACCACAGCATGGCTTTAAAAAAAATGTAGATAGGGGGCCGGCCCGGTGGCATAGTGGTTAAGTTTGGGCTCTCTACTTCAGCGCCCCGGGGTTCAGGTTCTCAAGTTTGGGCCCCGGGTGGGGACATACGCACCACTTGTCAAGCCATGCTGTGGCGGCGTCCCATATAAAGTAGAGGAAGATGGTCAAGGATGTTAGCCCAGGGCTGGTCTTCCTCAGCAAAAAGAGGAGGATTGGCAACAGATGTTAGCTCAGGCTAATCTTCCTCACCAAAAAAAAAAAAAAAAAAGGTATGTAATGACTTCACTGATAATTTGCTACTTTTGGTAGTTTTCTCCATTACTAGAAGGAGGCATCATGAAATCCTCTGAACTAACAGAATTATATTTGATTCATTTTACTTTTTAAAAGCATAACCTAATGGGATATTTCTGAATAACAAGCAGAATTGATCAAAGAGTTGAGTAGTATTGAGCCATAATTTTGGTTTCCTTAATAATTTTACATTTTAGGCACTGGTAAACACATGGCAACTGCATAATTTTGTTTGGTAAAAATGATAAACTATTAAACATCCTGTCATTGCAATGTTTGAATTGTTTAGTCAGAGTTTGTTTTAAAATTGAATGCAGATGTACTTTGACCTATTCCCACTAAAATACATAGTCTTCCCCCACCCCACATCCATCGCGAAGAGAGTAGTAGACACACCTTGTCCAGCAATTTATATGTTTTTCACAAGCAGAATTTATTGATTACTTTTTAAATTTATCATAGGTACTTAGTATTAACAAATGAGAATTTGTTCTGGTGTCTAGAAAGAGCCAGTAGATAAGAAAAAGAAAACGTTTGCTACGAAGATTGCAGAATGGTCCCGCTCGAATTCTCCTGGGCTGTTGGGTAGGGGCAGGAAGGTGAGAGCCGAGCTTTTTCTGACTTTGTTATTTTGGTCATTCTCTGTTGAAGCCTTCCTCTCCCTCTTCTGCCATTACACTGTTTACATGATTTAGTTGAATCACTGCTAAAGGGTATCTGGCCTCTGTCCTTTTTTTATTCTTAATGTTGTAACCCTAGTTCAAGCCTTATGTGGAACATTCTGAACTGGTGCCTTTCCAGTTTATTTCCTACAGCTCCTTCTGTGACACTGAAACTTCACTATTAGTACTGAAACATTATTTCCATTCCCTTTCCAAAATCCTTTAGTGGCTTCCTATTTCCCATAACTGTGTAGATCTAAACTTTGAAATAGTTTAGAGGTTTGAGGGATGAGGAAATGGAGAGGGATGAGAGAGGTTGTAGATAATTCTAAGTCACAATTATACAAGACTAATTAAAATGTGGTGAAAACAATCATTATAAAATCAATACTGTGCAATACTTTAAAAACCTCAAACATATGGATTGCTAAAAGGTTACTATGTGCTAAAATAGTCTATTATTGTTTGTTATTCATTTCTTAGTTAAACTCATTTATTTCAAGAATATTAGAGCTAAATGGTCTAGAATTTATTCTGTAGAATATTGGAGCTAAATGCTCCCTTTCTTTACCCATGTTTTTCACTTTCATGGTCTGACTCTCCAGTTGCAATCTGTAGCCTCTTTCCTGCTGTGATCTTTAGAAGAGCTGTCCCTTGCATCTCTGCTGTCCAGTATGGTAGCCAGTAGACATGTGGCTGTGGAGCACGTGAAACATGGCTAGTGCTGTAAGGGTGAAATACATGCCAAATTTTGAGATTTAGTATGAAAAAAATAAAATATTTCAATTTCTAAAATATTGATTACATTGAAATGATATGTTGCATATACTAGGTTAAATAAAATATATTGTTACAATTAATTTCACCTGTTTCTACTTTTAAAATATGCGGCTACTAGAAGATTTAAAATTATGTGTATGGCTTGCACGATGTTTCTATTGACTAGTGCAGCTTTAGACTTAGTTGATAGGGATGTGGTGTTCCCAAGTAGCAAGTAATCGTATAATGTTTTTACAGTTTGTAAAAAACTTTTTGTTTTTACAGTTTCAACTAATAGATACTAATAGATACTGCTAATATGTAAATGTCTCATTTTTGTAGTGCTTATGATAGCTCTCATAGAAGTCTTATTATTCTTTGGAAGAATATCTTATTTTTAGTGAGGAAGATTGGCCCTAAGCTAACATCTGTTACCAATCTTCCTCTTTTTGCTTGAGGAAGATTGTTGCCGAGCTAACATCTGTGCCAGTCTTCCTCTGTTTTGTATATGGAACACCGCCACAGTATGGCTTGATGAGCAGTGTGTAGGTCTGCACCTGGGATCCAAACCCATGATCCCTAGGCTGCTGAAGTGGAGTGCACGAACTTAACCACTGTGCCACTGGGCCAGGCCCTGGATGAATATCTTAATCTTAAGACCACTTCCAGGTGATTGAGTTAACTGTTATTGAATTAATATATTCAATTAATCATTTGAACTTAAAATAATAAAATGACATCTGTTGAGTACATAATCCATTAAAACAAAAGTTGAACTAAGCATAATAAGCTGAATTTTCCCAAACTGGGTCTGCTACTTCCTCATTGATTTTTATAATGTACCATTTTTCAAAGATTTAAGAAATATTTATGGGAGAAACTTGAAATTGAGAAAATCTCACAATTTTTTT